TAACGGGTGGTCCCGCCTGGAAACTTGGTTTGCCATGCGCACGCAGAATTGTTGCGGGCCGGGTATGTTATTGCAGTTTAGTGTGTGCTGTGTGTGGGTTGTGGGTTTTCGGTTAGTGGGGTTGTTTTTTTTTTTTTTTTTTTTTTTTATTTTTATTTATTATGTTGGTTGGTTGGAGGGGTGGATGGGAAGAAGGGGGAAGAGGGTGATGTGTGTGTGCCGTGCTTGATATGCAGCAGAGGAGAGGAGAGGGGAAGGGAGGGAGGGGGGAAAAGGGGGAGCACCCACATTCAGTAGTACGAGCTCTAAGACGGAAATTCCTGCCCTACTAGCTATGGACTTGCACGTATCGTTTCTATGAAAGCGTTGCGGAAGGTCAGTTTTGAAGACTGCGGACAGGCTGGTGGGAGTCTGGGAAGCGAAAATAACTTGGATCCGTTTGGGGAAAAGGGATGAAGGGGGAGAGAGGGGCCAAACGAAAGGGTGTTAAACACTTACGGCCCCGCCATCATATACATGGCGCATTCGACTTGTCTTCTGGTAAGCTCTGGTACTTCGTTCCGTTTCTCATTTTTGTCTCCAACCTTCGGGGCCTGGGTTTCTTGTTCATAAGGTAGGGAGAGCACAGGGAACGGATTTGCACTTTGCGTTGCTCGGGCCCGAATAAGCTTGGGAAGTACCCCATCAGTTCCACGCTCTGGAGCAGGAGCAGGGTCGATTAGGATGCCATCAGGTGTTACGGATACTGGATGGACAGGAGGAACACTCTCTTCTTGTCGTGCCTGAATACCGTTCCCAAATGGTGGTGTTATGGAGGGCATTTCGGGAGTGGGAATAGTAGGCATTGCGGGAGTGGGAATAGTAAAGGTAAAAAACGGCTCTGTGCGCTTGCGAAGTACCCCAACCCCATCGGCCCCTACTGTCAGTACCCCATCAGGTCCTACTGTCACTGGATGGACATCAGGAACACGCTCTTCTTGTCGTGCCTGAATACCGTTCCCAAATGGTGGTGTTATGGAGGGCATTTCGGGAGTGGGAATAGTAGGCATTGCGGGAGTGGGAATAGTAAAGGTAAAAAACGGCTCTGTGCGCTTGGCTCTCTCCGACCCCAAAATGCTCACGCAGTACGAAAATTTGGCCCCGATTTCTTTGTCGCAATTCTTCGAGACGGCAGGCTGTTGCGTGGGTTGTGCGCAATTGCGTTACAATTAGCAAGGGTCTTCAGAGTCATTTATTTGCCGGGATCTGATACACACGAATAGCCACCTACATTCCACTCCAGAAATTGTTCCCTGTTGATATTGAATTTCAAAGTAACTGTATCACAGGTATCTCCTGCCTCAATATTGGCCCAGCCGTTGCAACTTGAAGTTTGCCCAGGCTGTGTAGGCCTATCCGGCTTCTCAAGTGGAGTTGGTTGAGCAGATCTTCGTCCTAGGGGCGTGGATCCGTTTGTCGGTTTCGCCTGGAGTATCGCAGTTCCTATCTTGTTATTAATTTTGGTTGCAGGAGGTTCTTCTCTAGGAGTGTTTGGCCTCGTCGGCGGCCAGATGCCTTCAGTATTTCTTTGCCGTTTCATCGTCGGGGGTTTCTGAGTCGGCTGCGAAGGTCGCAACAGCTTGTTCCACCGAGCGTTTTCTTGACGCCTGGCCTTTCCGGCCTCCTCAGGCGGCGTACACCCTAGGTTTGCGATGACGCAGCCCACTGTACTGAGCACAGGTTGTGGTCCATCTCGTTCCTGAAGTGCTTTTGGTGCTAGGGCGGGCAATCCATTGACCCCAAGTGCCGCAAGGATAACTAAAACAGCTTGTAGCTTCATGGTGTGGGAAAAGCGGTCTGGGAACCAAGTCCGAAGACACAATCAAATCGTGGACGTTCTAGTATTGGAAATATAGATATAAAAGTCAAACTGCTCCGTGACCGGGTGTTGTGGTAGAGGAACTGTTGAGAAGCTTACCTACCTCGTATGGACGGCGATGTGTAGGACTTTATACTAGAGACTTGAAGCTCTACAAAGTAGAGCACGCGCGGCATAAATGCGGGCCAATGCGTGCCAATCCATTGATCTCTAAAAATTAACTGAAATATCACACCAAGAGGGAGTTGTACAGCGAGTGTCTGATGAGTTTAGAAGATGTGCATACATGGAGACATATGCATGCATACTACACATCCATGTACATTACACAATGAACAAAGAGAATCAATTTGCAGGAAAAAACAGGACCCGTACCTGCTTCTGCAGCGCCACACATCAGATACACATCAGTTCACATGCATATCGACGTTGGGGGCTAAACAATCATTTTTTTTTCCCCATTGTCTGGTCTCCTGATAGTGGCGAAGCGGTTAAAGGGAAACTCACTGAAACAGCAAATGCAGCTGAAGTTTGCTGACAAGTGTTAGTGGTAGTAGAAAATATATATGCATAATAATAGCATTACCAAGCATAGCTGACGAAAGATGAAAGTGTTTGCAATACTTGAGACGTACCTAGGTAGCCCAGTTAGCTTGTGATCATCCAACTCTTTGTCCTGCTAACCATTGAGTACCCTGCCATTACAAAACCAAAGCTGACCGTTACAGCCAATGTTAAGACTTATTCTAACAAGAGGCAACATTAAATCTCAAAGGATGAATGCAGTAATATGCCTTGTAGCATATCTTATGCTGGGAGCATAGAGAATCTTGCTTTTGTCATTCATAATTTGGCTTGGCCTGTTTGGCCAAGTTCAAGGGAAGGTAGGTGCACCTCCACTCCGAGTTTGATAATAGCAGAAGCGCACATAGCTATTTCGGCGTACAAGGTGGCGGGACCTGCATCTGCAGAAGACACAGTAAGGACTCGGAGTCGAAAGCTCAAGCTCCCACTTTCGGCGAGATCTTTGTCTCACCGTTGAATTGTCATCGTCGGACCTGTATAAGTTGTGTTAAGGAATACGTTATAACGCACATCATCCGTTTTTGAATGCTCGTAGCGCTGTCTATATGATGGATGTATGCTCTGAGCACATCTGATATTAAATGCTAGTGCGCTCATATTAACGCGCACTATGGATCCACCAGCTTCGTCAATGAGTCTACGCGGCTCTACACCGCAGCTCGATTATGTGGGACGAGATAAGAATGGATTTCGGCAAACGTGTCGTTTTCGTCAACAAAGTACATGTAAACATGCTGTACGGGACTACCGACAAATATCGAGGGCACTGACTCGCTGATGGATTTGAGAAGTGCCTGCGTTAAACATGACAATCGGGACAAGTAAAGCCGCGTCAAGAGCGCTAACATGACGGGTAGTATTGGTGACACCTATTTGATACGCCGCGAGGTCCCTGAAACAAAGACTAGGTATAGTTGCCCCAAAAGCAGCTGCAGGGTATTTTTGGTGACTGCACGGGTAATAGGGCCCCCATCTTGTCGCGCACCAGTGAGGCTGTGACAGTTTCAATGTTGATCAGCGGAAGTAGATTGCTGCCAGCTTTCTCATATAGCTAAGAAATCCATCACGACATAAAGAGGGTAGACTTGTTGCATGAGTTGCCAATGCTGTGTTCTGCATGACGCCTAACAATGGCCCGCGTCAGTTAAGGGCGATAAACAAATGGAAACATTGTCATGATGTGATCAGCGGACACTGATGAATGAAAAAACCTCTTTGCAGGCCTTCAGGAAAGATGCATACTATTCAGTATAATGGTGACAAATTTTGAGAGTCGGCCGATCCCAGTATGCTGCGTCACAGAAACCCTCACAGGCACCGATGCTAAACGATCGATGCTCTTGCATCCAGCAGAGGTTCCAAAGTTCCGTTCTCTCTCTGATACATGAAGGGAGAATATGCACGAATGAGTCGCATTCCTCAGCAATTGTTGCTTTGGGAAATGTCAGCAGAAGAGTTGAAGTCAAGACGTCCACGATTGCAAGATAGCTGACTCAGGCGAGGAGGTCGGATTAATAATATTCCCCAGCCCCAAGGTGGTTAGCTATAGATCTGGAGGCTCTACAATGTAGGTATCGGCATCACCCTTTGCCATTCCAATCAGCAGAGCATTTGCCTCTAATGAGAGAGCAAAGAATGTATCTCTTTATCCTGAGTCATGGGTTAGGAAACCATTGGAAACTACACAATGTGGCACACCCATTCTAATGTCTTTGTATTCGCCAGCTCCTAGTCCGTACAGAAGGCGGAATGATCCGCCACATTAATAAGCGCAGGGCGACTGCGACACAACTAGCTGGGCTTTTTGTTAGGTTTGGAGTAGGGCATATCGATCTGTAAATCGGATTATTTAAAAAAAATCAGGTATATCCATTCCAAGTTGCGGATTGTTTTGCTCCACTCCGATAAAGCTTCGGGGACAGGAAACGCCTAGAACCGCTTACTTCACGTAAAAATGGAGCAATAAGTTATACTGACAGATATCCTATCTTATTGCTAAATTCTCGAGCTAACTTCCTTTACAGGGCTGGCTCAAAAGCAGACAAAATGAAGGAGTCGATCGTTTAAAATCAGATATCTTCCATGACAGCAATCTGCAAAGCCTATATATATATAACGCCCCATGTACCGACAACGTGAAAGAACTAGGAAAAGATACACGGGAAAAGTGAAGATTTCCGTAAGAAATCTTGCTGCTTTACACTTCCATATATGTTTTTCACCCCCAAGGCACAAACCCATGTGCAACAGGTCTTTCAGTCCAAAATCTCAAGTTGGCCATACTGGTTTCGTCATGAAGCGTTGTTTGTTGTCTGTCACCAGCCAAATCGATAATCAGCGAAACCGAGTTGCAAGGGTATTTTCCCAAAACCTCATCTGGCCTACTACCGAGCCATACTGTTTCGGGGGAGATGCCATGTCATCATAACTCTTGGAGCTGTTCTGGAATCTTCAATAATTGTCTCACATGCTACGGATGTACAGAGGCTCGAATCTGGTGCAACTTCGCTCTGGGTTGCTAACTATCGGGACGGTGCCGAGGTCGTCCAACAAAGCAGCATCATTGGTCTAGTGGTAGAATCCATCGTTGCCATGACTTCGGAGTCTCCGAGTCTCTCTCGGATCGATGGGGCCCGTGTTCGATTCACGGATGATGCATTAAACGTCCTCTTTTTGTTCAGAAACAATTCTTTTGAATTTTTTGGAGCCTGGTTGTGTGTGGCGGCGGAGCTGTGAAACCGGGTTCGGCTATTTCGGGCCACGCCCATTGGCCGATCTGGCACGGACCACTCAAACTCGGCATACCGGGGATCATGTGACTTTGGCCCACCGACTGCCGTCGGCTTGAATTGCTTGAGATGGGAAGGATTGCCCTACCTAGGTAGAGACTCTGCAGCAGCTGAATCGGGTGAGGGGCAACACGCCGACACAGGCCATAGCGTGGGTGTCAGATGGAACGCAACACCGTACCCAACGAATCAGATCTCTGCTGTCATTATTACGGACTGAACTTCCCGATGTTTTTTGCTGGAACCTTCCGCTCCCCCAGATTTTCCCGTTTTAGTTTGCTTGAGCGCTGCCGCCCGCAAATTTCACGTGCTTTCCCCAGTAGGCCCATGTTTTGAGCGAAAATCCACCGCTTTTTTTTTTCCTTTTTCCTTTTTCTTCGTCTTGCTCTTTTCCCCCTCTCTCTCCAGTTTCGCGGGCGCCCCTTCGACCCTTGAATTTAATTCACCACCTATCCATCCCGGCCCTCCAATAGAGCCAGCCCTGTGCTCAACGTCGGCTGTGCCTGGCCTGGCTTAACCTTCATGACGGACCATAAGAACGCCGGTGGCGTCGAGCCAGCCGCTCAGAATGCGGGTGGCGCCAGCCCGAGCCAATCCCCCCTGATGACAAAGAGTGAGATCTTTGAGGGTGCAAAATTGGCAACTGACAAGGAGCAGCGAATGACCCTGCTGCAGGGGATAAAGCTCTACCCAAAAGCAGTTGCATGGAGTGTGCTCATCTCAACCTGCATTGTTATGGAAGGCTATGATATTTGCCTGGTGAACAATTTCTACGCTTTCCCCCAGTGGAACGAGAAATATGGAGTCCGATATGGGGACAAATACCAAGTTCCTGCCAAGGTATGTCATATAAATTTGTTTATGCTTTCGTCGTTGTTCTATAATGTTCGTTTTCACGGATCTAAACAGCCAATTATTTATTTATTTTCGCCGTACAGTGGCAAGCAGCTCTTAGTAATGGTGCAGTCGTCGGTGAAATCATCGGGCTATTTATCAACGGCTGGGCGTCTGAACGCTTTGGTTACCGATACACGATTCTGACCTGTCTGCTCTTCCTTTCCGGGTTTATTACGATATTCTTCACTGCACAAAATGTGGAGGCTTTGTTGGCAGCTGAGATCCTGTGTGGTATTCCATGGGGCGTTTTCCAGACCCTGTGCATCACCTACGCTACTGAAGTCTGCCCCGTTGCTCTGCGGAACTATCTTACGACGTACGTCAATTTCTGCTGGGGTCTTGGCCAATTCATTGGAATTGGAGTACTCAAAGCCATGTTGAACCGACCTGGTGAATGGTCGTACCGAATCCCGTACGCGTTGCAATGGATGTGGCCCGTCCCATTGGCGCTTGCGATTTTCATGGCGCCAGAATCTCCGTGGTGGTTGGTGAGAAAGGGCAAGACTGAGGAAGCAAAACGCTCCCTCCTTCGGCTAACGAGTTTGAATCGGGAAACGGACTTCGATGCCGACGAGACAATTGCAATGATTGTTCACACCACAGCGTTAGAACAGAAAATCACCAGTGGTGCCAGCTATCTTGACTGTTTCAGGGGAATTGACTTACGCCGGACGGAAATTGTTTGTATGGTTTGGGCCATCCAGAATCTTAGCGGAAACTCATTCTCCAACTATTCTACATACTTCCTCGAGCAGGCTGGTGTGTCGATTGAGCATTCCTACTCCTTCGCCATGGGCCAATACGGAATCAACATGGTCGGCGTTTTCGGTGCATGGTTTCTCATGTCTCGCGGCATCGGGCGAAGGACCCTTTACATATTCGGTCTGTGCGGTCTCTGTATCATGCTTTTGGTAATGGGCTTCCTTGGTCTTGTTCCCGAGAGCAAGCGCAACAGTAGCTCGCTGGCCACCGGGTCCATGATGCTCATCTGGGCCTTGGTCTACCAACTCACCGTCGGCACAGTCTGCTACTCTCTTGTGGGCGAACTCTCGAGCCGACGTTTGCAGATAAAGACCGTCGTGCTGGGGAGGATTTTATACAACATAGCGGCTATTGTCTGCAACGTGTTGACTCCCTACATGTTGAACCCAAGCGCGTGGAATTGGTCTAACTATGCGGGATTTTTCTGGGGTGGTGTGTGCTTCTGCTGTATCATTTACACGTATTTCCGTGTTCCAGAGCCGCGCGGCCGGTCTTTTGCGGAACTGGATATCCTGTTCGAGCGTGGCGTTTGTGCGAGGCGTTTCCCTGAAACCGTGGTGGATGTTTTCGAAGAGGAGGTGCAGGCCGAAGTGCTCGCTGGTTATAGGAGACCCTCAGTGAGCCACTCCATTGAACCACAGGACTACGAGAAACAAACGCACCACGCTCAGACGGCGTTGTAGCCGTTCGAAAGACGCCTAGGGTACATACGTAGGGAAATGCTGACGGATTTTCGGAATTTCCTATCATGCCCACCACATACATTTGTTTTACTCCCATTTCACATTTCCCGCATTCTACATCAGCAGTATTTCCCCCTTCTCCCTCCCAGTACATACCTGTACACACTTTGGGTGGCTCATTGATTATCTTTGGAATATGTCCCTACGTATTGATTTTGTATATACGCGCCCATGAACAACCAAGCAAGCGAAACTAATGATTTATTTTCTCTCTTCACTGCTTCTTTCTCTCTCTCATCGTACTTCTACTACTTTTCTCCATTTTCTATTCCCAATTTGAAGTGGTCTTCGGTGTCGATTGTTCCACTCTGTGTAAATACCCATAACATAATTTAGATAACTACATAATTTCACAGTTATGGGCGCTTATACTACAGAAAAACACCTCCCATCTGCCTAAAGGGGGCTTGGAAAAAATAAGATGTATCCAGCTTTACCACACCGGCTCTCATTTTGCTTCTTTCGAGATCCTTAATGGGAGGGCTAGATATTTGCCTTCACATCCTAGTAGGGCTGAGAAGTCATGCTGATGTCAGAAGGTGCAACGTTTCCATCCCTGATAGGCAAAAAGTACGTCATCCGCTGACAAACTTTGGCCTCCAATTGACAAATAAAATCCGCTGCAGGAGAAGCGGTGTACTAAATTTAAATTTTAAAAGAAACAAGGGAATGAAATAAGATAAAGGCGGGCAGCCTGTCCTTGCGGGGAAGTATGAAACCGTGGCAAAAGTCATATGAGGGGGAACGTAATAGATGTATGTACGTTAATTTTCTATCGTTTCCAAACACATTTGTTCCCTGCTGCTACACGAAATAAAGACATTATGACTATCAGTTCCACCTCTAGCCGATATGATAAGCCAAAGCCCTTTTCACCCTGTCTCCTCCTCCTACTCCCGTACGAGCTGCGCCATCAAATATACAACGCGAGCCTGGCTGCTAGCAATCCCATAGACCCTCACAACAAGCGCAAAGCATCCTTTAGCCCTTCCCTCCTCGCAACATGCAAGCAAATACATGACGAAGCGACTCCGATCCTCTACAGGGAGAACGAGTTTATCCTCCATAACATACCGCGTGATGCCCAATGGCTCGATGAAATCGGAGCCCGAAATGTCTCAATTCTGAAGCGCGTGCAGTTTTTCGTCGATGAGGGCCCGATAGTCATGACCGAATTTGGCGGGGTGGCGAATGACGGTCAAGAACAGCGCTTACGCGCTCTGCTACGCCGATTAACCAGGGATGCGAAGGGGCTGAGATACCTTCGTGTTCATTTGGCTGGGCTAGGTGAGAAGGATTATGAGTGCTATGAATGTGATGAGGAAGGGTACGGGATGCAGCCGAGATGGGGATGGGGAGAAGATAGGCAGTTCATGTTGGAGTTAGGGAGGATGAGCGGGTTGACGGAGCTTGTGCTTGAGGGGGGATTTGAAACGACCTGGATGGGGTATTTGAGGAAGCAAATGGGTGATGCAGTAAAGGTACTGTAATGTACAATGCGTGAGTGGTGACGGTAGTGGGTGAGTGATCGAGGGCTCCGTTATCGACCGTGGTTGGTTGGATTTGCTGTGTAAAATCAGCAAAAAAATGAAGGTCGTGCCATGCTGCTTGATGTGTTGGACTTGCGAAAGCCTCACTGGGTGGCATTTCCTGCTGGATGAAATGGCGGGTCGTGGGAAATGTAAGTGTCGTTTGACACGCTTGCTCAAGCGGTATTTAACCTAGGAAGAGTGGATGGGAATACAATGAGAAACATTGATCCCGCACACACTGATGTCTGCATGCGCCTCCCCAAAGATCTTTGTGCTGTGTTTCTCACAGCTATTAGCACGCTTCCATACTCAAAATAAACGAGATAAAACGGCGAAGTTTGGAAAATGCCGTTGGAAAATCTTCCTTTTTGGAAAAATCAAGTAGCTAGGCACTGCAACCACAAAAGTATCAATTTCCCCAATTCTCAGTGTCCCAGCAGGTAGCATGCTGATGGGCAAAGCAGAGGTCTCAATACAGAAATCTCATGAGAATATTCGCCATTCAGAATCATCTCAAGTGCATGTGTGTGCCTCTGAATTTAGGCACTTTAACAGGGGCAAGCAGCATATGAAATACATCTTGTTGACGAGATTCAGGCGGTCATGCACCCGAACTGCGCTTCACTTTGTTGGAGCAAGCGCCATGAGCTCGAGCTGGCCCCCTTTCTCCGGGCCTAACGGATATCCACCATCGAAAACGCCTTGGGGAGTCGCCGCCGTTTGTCCCGACCAACTGGCAGAGCAGAGGCCAGCCAAGAATGGGGGCCCTTGGCTTGCACCATTTTGGTTCACTTTCCTTGAGCCTCAGGCACTCGTAGATTTATTTAGCGTCCAGGAACTGTGTGCTCGGCTTGTAAGTGCATTCTTGGGATAACAATTTCATCAGATCCGCCTAGTTAGGAATGACAGGCCCATTTTGGCTGTGTCAAGATGAG